AGAGTGATGACAAATTGATTTTGCCTTGATTCGATAACATCTTGATTTCAAATCAAATAATATATAAACTAGTTTGAAATTTGATTGTCATTCAATTCTATTCAATTTTAAGTTGACTTGAACTTGAATGGGCTAGTCTGAAGTCAATATCTTTTCTTTTTATTTTTAAAATTTAAGAATAGGCATAAATGCACTTTTTGTGTTATCTATTAATGTTTTGAACAATGTTCTAAAAACCGAACCGGGCCGGCTGGTTCAACCGTGAACCGGTCTTTCAAACAGTTTTGTCCAAGCTCAGAGCCGTTTTTGCATAGAATCGGGATTAAACCGGTCAGAACCAAGGTTGCTCCAGAGAGCAGGTGAACTTGTCCGATTTTTAAAAAATTGGCCGGTTCAAATATTTTTCAATTTTAGTCTTTTGAAATCGAATGGCCAAAATAAAATATTTAAATTGAAAAAAAAAAGATAAAATTTCATGTCTTAAATTTTTTTATTTTGAATTTGTTATGTAGAATATTGTTCAAAATATTGAAAAAAATATATCTTAAATTAAATATTTTTTGTTAAATGGATAAAAATATTGTTAATATATCATTATTATATTATTTAAATATATTAAAATAATTTAAATATTTATTACATCATCCGGTTCAATCTTGATTAAACCAATGAATTTTAAAGCTTTATTTCTCCGGGTTTGATGTCTGGTCTAGTTTTCACAACTTTGGTTTTAAACCTCAATAGGACTCGATGGAGAAAAATTGATTCATATAGCCACTTAGGGGAATAAAAGGCTTGTCGTTGTTGTGCCATTAATGTTTTAAAATTCATTGCTTCAATCTTGGTTAAACCAATGAATTTTAAAGCTTTACTTCTCCTGGTTTGATGTCTAGTCTGGTTTTCACAACTTTGGTTTTAAACCTCAATAGGACTCGATGGAGAAAAATGATTCATATAGCCACTTAGTGGGATAAAAGGCTTGTCGTTGTTGTGCCATTAATGTTTTAAACAAGTTTTCTTGGTTGCACACATACTTAGGAAAATTTTATTCAAGCACCAAAAGTTTATTCAATTTCACGTGAAGGACCTAAAGACCTTCCAATATATTGAATGTAAAACCAAAGGAAAATAATTGCTTGATTTCAACTAAAATTTGGAAGTTGGGAAAGTGAAACTTAATGGTGATCTATGTTTTTTTTTGTTTTTTTGTTTTTTTTTTGGATTTAGTTTAATTTATTGCACATCTATAGCTTTATAACTTCACATATATATTTCTTACACATCTGTGCTTTAATTTGTGAGCTTCGAAATCCTCATTTTTATTGTTGAAGTATGTTTGTGTATAATTTGTATTGGAGATTGTAATAGCAATAGACTTTCTTGTGTGGATGTGTATGGGAGGAGAACAAAGAAATATGACAAAGGAAGAGAAAGTATTAGGGAATCCATAAATATTTTCTCTCCACCGGATTTTAGAAGTGAGCATATAAGATAAAAGAGTACTAAAGAACTAGAAATAGTTAAAATTTAAAGATACAGCAGTATCAGTCGTAGCATCAACCTTTCCATGAGTGAAGGATATTTATTACAATGTCTTCATCACCATATTTTGAGAGCTAGTTAAGAAAGAACACCAATATTTCCATTTTTTCAATGCCTTGACTGAAAATGTTCTATTTTGCTATATTTTATAGTATTTTAATTTTGGAGCATTTACATACGTATCAAATAAAAAATTTACCACTATTTTTTACTTTTTAAATGTTAACTTCATCTTTTCATGCATAAATTGATTAAACTAAAGTGTTATCAATGTAAACATCAAACTTTAGGTGTCCGATATGTAAAGACAAAGGAAATATGTGTTTTGTATGTAAATTTAACTTTAATTTTCAGTTTTTCTTTTACTGATTCATTTTTGACACTCGCCATCATTCACAATTCATCAAGGCGCCATGATCAAACAAATGTTATTGCCAGTCATTTGAATGCGATCCTTCCCTTTTTTTCTGGCGCTTTTTTTTTTTCCTGACGCCAACTGCTTGTCAATGCAGGACACCATTAATGGCGGCCATGCACGAGGATGACTCTCCCGACTTGAGAGAGGTTGCGAGAATTCTACGAGAAAATCTCGAGGTAAATTCTATCTTCTACAAAATAAAACTCCACCATGCATTTCATGAAACCTTTTTACATCAACTCGATATAATCTCTCTCTAGATTCAAGATGTTCCACTAAGGGCTCGAAGAATGATAGTAAGAGTATGTGATATTGTGACGAGGAGAGCTGCTAGGCTCGCCGCAGCGGGTATTGTGGGTATATTGAAGAAAATAGGAAGAGATGGGAGTGATGGAGTCTGTAGTGGAAGAACAGAAGGCAAATCTAGAAGAACTGTGATTGCCATGGAGGGAGGGCTTTATGTTAGCTATGCACTGTTCAGGGAATATTTAAATGAAGCTGTGGTGGAAATTGTGGGTGAAGAAATTGCTCAAAATGTTGTTCTGAGGACTTGTGAGGATGGATCAGGTATTGGTGCTGCTCTACTCGCTGCCTCACTTTCATCAAAACAATGAAGATGCCTGTGTAAATAGATTAATTCATGTGCAAATATTTAAAAAAAAAAAATTACATGATTAATATGTTTATATAGTAAACATCATCTCTTATTTGCTTATTGTATTATTTCATTGTTTGCGCAGAAGATTATTGTCCTTTGTTTTTAAGTGAGGAATCAATTGATCAGTAGAATTTAGGTTCATTTGAGAAAAAAAAAATGGGGAAAGGATTTGTAATTCTGAAGTAGGACGATTCCCTAACACTTAAATTGAGGATAAAAATCTTCTGCTTCAATATTGTACCTGTAGTTGTGGAGGCTAGCTCAAATCTCATAGTTTTGGACCATATAATTTGTCAGCTAAATGTATTATTTGTAATTATTTTATTTTTTTTAAGTTAGTGCTATTTTTAATTTTCGCGTTGACTATTATTCTTCCTTTTCTTAAAGAGCTTTTTGGTAGGATGATTTTAATTTTTATGTTGTGCTATTTGGGTATTGAACTATTGTGTAGACCATTCTGAAACAAATTTTTGCATATTAAGGTTTTTAAATTTAACTTAATTCTCATTTATTTACATATCTGACACCCAAACTTTCATTTTTTGCATTTATATGAACCATGATTTTCATTTCAAATCAAAATTACACCATTTCAACTTTGAAAAGGTGGAATATTGTGTATTAGATATGTAAATACATAAGAATTGTGGTATATATGTAAATATTTCTTTTTTTATTTTATTTTATTGTCAAGCATTTATGTAGCATTCTCATTGTTTTACGCATATTTTAGTTATTGATGATTTTTTTTTGTTGCTTAAACTGATAGATTATTATCTCTTTAATTATAATTTTAAAAGGTTATCTTATGTCTTAGTAAAAAACTTCATGTAACATAATTCTAGATTTAATTTGTCAATTTAACCAATTACTTTTAACTTTATTATGTGTATTTACAGTTATATTCATTTTTAATATAAGAGAACAAATATGCTTTTATGGTCTGTTTGGGGCAACTGTAGCTTATTAAATAATTTGTTCATAAACTGATTAAAAATAATCTGTTGATAAAAGTTAGGTGCGGTGGTTATTACAAATTTTTATATTTTTTGAAAAGCTAAACAACAGCTAAAAAGATGATACTGCATCTAGATAAATGTGGGAAAATGTTGTTTTCAGTGTTTTGAAAACACAAACTACCAAAACACATGTTACCCAAATAGTTTGGTGCATTTTCAAAAAATTACTGCACCAAATAAGCAGCCCCAAACGGGCCCTTAGTTTAGTATATGTCGATAAAAGTTGTTTAATAGTATTGATTAATAAACTAGAGATTATACAAAGTTCTTTATCATAAATTTAAGCTTTTCTTCATTATTTTTTATGATTTTAAAAACCATTTTCTTGTTTGATGTTTGGTGATTTGAAATGTCATATGTAATTAGAGTTATTGTATATGATAAATGTGCAGCACTAATCTTAAGACAGATGAACGGGTCGAGAAGAAAGTATGACTGATCGGATGTAACTCGTAGACGACCGTCTGATTTGGACGTCGTTGAATGGAGCGTCTTGTTTGAGCGATGTGTAGAACGTGTTAGGGGATCTCTCACAAGGCGGCAATTGGCCCTCAGGCCGATCGGTAAGAAATATCCTTTTGGATTAGATATTTACGGAGCTGAGGCTTAATAGGTTGTTGGTGGTCTTCATGTCGATCGAATCAGTCCTCTAGCTATATTATATCTGAATATCTCTGTAAAGTTCAAAAAAGTCCATTTGAAAGGTCATATATTCCTATAAATAGGAGGTCAAAATCATGAATAAATGTTCACTTTATTTTACCATTCCTCTCTGTACTCTTCCCCCCC